TATATATGGTACTCAAAGATTAGTCTTTTTTTAAATTTTAAAGATTATAACAGCAAATCAGGAGTCTACGGAAAGTGGTCTGCAGGAGAAAAGAACGTGTATATTTGTTTAAGGTTAAAGAATGTTCATACCTTGAAATGCTTAGTCTCTGGAGATCACTGCTCTTCTGATTGTCATCTTGAGACAGTTCCTGACAAATTAAAAAAAAATTGTTGCCATTGTTATTTTCTATTTATTTACACTTTATTGTTAAATGTCTTTAGCTTTTACATATTACCTTATAATTATACAGCATAAAACTATATTTTTAATAAAATTTTAATGAAATACATGCAACTGATATAAGATATTTTTAACTCTCTGCCAATTACTTCCTCAAGGTCCACAATTTGAGACCGTCAGCAGCTCCTTGGGAGGAAGGTGAGGCTTTCTACTCCTACAGAGCATTGCAGTCTCGCAAACCCACAGGGGCAGTTGCACCCTGCCCTACAGGGTCTCTGAGTCAGCATCGAATCGATCGATGCCAGTGAGAGAGCCAATTATTTAAAGGCATTCATGCTCTAATTTTCTTTAAAAAAATAAAATGAGTCTCAATAATGAATTCTTGAAGATACCAATCTGAAGTCTATATTCAATTAGTTAACTTAAAAAAAAAATAACTTGCTATAGATCCTAACTCATAAAGTCCTTGTACACTTTTTAAGTTTTAGTAGTTTAGGTAGTAAATATTGACAGAAAGAGCCCATAAAGTATGTTTAAAAGTGAACGTAATATATTTACAACAACTCTGTAAAAAAGTGTCCACATTTTCACATAAGAGTCCATAAGAAATAAAAATGGCTGCCACAAATAATGCTACTAGCAGAAGCAGGCTGTAGAGGTAACAAAACCTAATCTTCACTATTTTTTGCTTACGTGATCCAAGTATTTTAATGGTGGAATATTAAAACTCCGCATAAGACTTCTTGAGTTCCTTGAATTGGCAAAGTAAAATATCAAAAAATCCAATTTTTTCCCCAAAGCTATATATTTTAATTTTTAAACAAAACAACCTATCACCTTCAGAGTCTCCATTACAGTAGCTACATTTGTCAAATCTGTGATTCCATTCTTGGAAACATTTTTCAAATTCATCTATCTGTTTGAATGGCTGACAGCACCTTGTTTTTCCTTGACCTCTTCTACTTTGTCAAATTGCTGTCCTCTCGTGTCCCTCTTCATTCGTGGAAACAAAAGGAAGTTGCATGGAGTATGGTCAGTTGAGTAAGGTGCATGGGGCAAAAGAAGCATGCTGGTTTTTGCCAAAAACTGGCACACTGAGATGGCTGCATGAGCAGGTGCTTTGTCATCTGCCACAAATCAGGCCTTTTTTGTCGCACACTGTTATGCAATCTTTTCAGAATCTCTAAATAGAAAGCTTGATTAAAAGTCTGACTTGTTGGAATGAACTCCAAATGCACTATCCCTCTCACATCAAAAAAACAAATGAGCATCGGGCTTTTTTGGGGTATTCTCTTGTACTTTGCTTAACAGAGATGAAAGCATTTTGGGTCTGATTCTCCAGAACATACCAACTAAACAATTAAATGACATCTTAGGGAGGCCTGAGGAGAAGGGGAAGATTACTAACTGGCCCTCAAGTTAGGAAAAGTTTACCCACTATCAAGGCACATGACTTACTTTATTTGCCTATTTTGTATAGGAAGAGTCCAGTGAGGTCATTTGCACTTTTCTGTATCTCTAATTTAAAAAAAATTAACTAGAACTTACTTAAAATGTAGAAGCAAAAATACCTCATTCTTAAAGTCAAGGATATATATTAATTAAAAAAACCTGCGTTGCGTGAAAGTCTTTTTCCAGCTAACTTCTTCATGCACACCAGCAAAAAGCACAAAGGCATTTTAATTCTCAAAAACCACATTCCTGGATAGTCATCACCTTGCCATTTTCTAAAGATGATAATTGATTTATTTTCTAATAAATGTCTATAGAGCACCATTATCATATGATGTGCACATTTCATACAAACTTGGGAAATCATGTTTTAGGTAAATAGGTCCTTCTACTACAGGACTCCTTAAAATGTGAATCCCTTACACATCCTCTAAATAAATCCAATTTACTGGCCCAGTTCTTATATTTCTTTGGCCCTGACTTTGTTTTTCTTAGGATCAACTGTTGTGAATAGAGATGGGAAATAGAAATGCAACTGGAATTGACCCTGAAACTTTGACCCCCTAATCCTAAATTCACAGAATGAATAAAAAAAACAAGAAGACTCAACAATATAAAATATCCTCTCATGTCAATGAAAGATAGTATTTTAATTCAGAAAATGCTGTTTTATAGAAAATACAACCTAATATTTCTATGATGTAAACAAGACTATTAAGATGAACATTAAATTGCTCATTGGCTGACTTTGATTACCATACGCAAGAGGATTCTGATCAGCAAAACCACTGAAACAATTTAAAAGTACATATACTATACCACCAAGACTTCAACTTGGACCGGCTTTGTATACTGACAGAAAATATTTTCTTTTCAGGATTCATTTATCTGTGTTAGTTGTCTTTTTTTTTTTTCAAGTTCACATTTCCCCTTCCCAACTTAAAAAACAACAACAAAAAACCTTGTAAAATTCGAAGTCATTTCTTAATTTTTAAAAATTGTCCCTCTTTCTTGTATTGCCAACCCTTACAGTTATTCTGGGTTTCGTGCTCAATTTTACTATCAGTAAGATTTTCTAAAGTTTTCTTCTATCTGGAAAGTCTGTTTCTGTGATTTATGATAAAAGATGAAAATTTAAAAGCAAAATTTATTCTATAGCACCACCTAGCGGAGAATAGTAGTAAGTTAAGAACTAACTACTATAACCAAATATATGCATAGACATCCAAAAGCAGTTACATACTTGTTACAGCAGAATCAATGATTTTAGCCCAACCCAAATGACTGCCCACACGTTAGCAGTCCAGCAGATGTTTCCCTTACTCTCCATATTCCATATACTCAATTTTCAGTTATTTGCTGAAAATTAAATTAACTCAACAACTCAACTCTCTGTCCTTGAATCAATGCTGACCCATAAGCAACCCTGATAGGACAGCACAGAACTGACTCCATGGGTTTCCGAGACTTTAACCTTTTTTTTTTTTTTTGGTGATCCAAGTGGGTTTTTATTTTTTTTTAAATCATTTTATTAGGGGCTCTTACAACAATACAATCCGTACACCCATTGTGTCAAGCACATTTGTATATATGTTGCCATTGTCATTTCTAAAACATTTTCTTTCCATTTGAGCCCTTGGTATCAGCACAATTTTTTTTCTCCCTACCCCACCCAACTCTATTTCTTTGTGAGAATAGAAAGTACCATCTTTCTACTGCTAATCAGAGTTACCCAAAGTTTATTAATAAGACTTTCCAAATATGAGAGTGAACTCTGTAAAACTGCCCTACCCACAGGATTCTGATAAACAATTCTCGTGGTATTTAGGTCAATCAAAATATTAACTCAAATACAGTGGGAAATATGAACCTGAGTCTCTAAATTTTATTGAGAAAAGATTGACAAGAAAACTAGAGGAAAGAATACTTGAAAGAGTTATAATATACACACTCAAGTTTTTAAACATAAAACTATAAAACTCTGGGATCATACTAAAAGTATAGTGTACCATATTGGTAGAAATGATTAAAATAAAAGCAGCACAGATTGTTCATAGCATGAGAACATTCTCTAAGTAGTTATAATGTATATCAACTCTTTAATACTTAACCAAAGCTGTGGCCACTGTGTGGACTTCTACTTAGAGCAACACTAGGGGAGAGAGTAGAACTGCCCCATAGGGTTTCCAATGCCGGGAAGTTTTACTGAAGATGAACGCACATCTTTGGGGGTGTGGAAGGGAAGGGGGTGGTGCTTAGCAGGTTTGAACTAACCATTGTACCATCAGGACTCCTTGTGTTTAAAATTACTTTAAAAATAATCCCTACATAACACACACACTATGGAGTATCTTACTAATTCTTCAATACCGTTTGTTTGGATTTCTGTAGCTCTATTTTGAGATCACTACATTCTTTCTTCATCAGTTCCAGCTCTTGCTCCAAACCATGGATCTTCAGGTCACAGCTCAATTTTTCTACCTCCCAGTTTGATGTGGGTGGATTTAAATTCCTCATCACTATAAAAAGGTTGGAAATCAAAATAGTTATGTCTGATTTCTCAATTACCAGGTTATGCTGATAGAGAGAATAAAAATGCTAATATGAAATGTAACAACAGTTAAAAACAGTAATAGCTTGCAAACAACTATGCTAATGAGAGTACAAAAATCTAGTAATTTTTGTTTAGAATGTATTATTCACCCTACTACATAGTAATTTTCTGTTTAGGCTAAAGTACAAATGCCAGTCTGGAATTAAAAGGTGGTACATAAATTCAAACATATGCTCAAGTGTTAGCACTGGATTCTCCTTCCTGGTGTATCAGATGGCAACAGAACTGGGGTTTATTGCAATGGCTCCAGTGTGGCAGAAGCTTGGGTGTGAAGAGAGAAAGAATGGAGGGGCATGGGAAGTGAAATGTGATTTTTAGATATTTCTTTGGTTCTTTTCTAAAATGGCTAAACAGAATCTAAGGATTGTTAAACTGAAGCACAGGGGAGAATGGCTGCTTGGAGGGCTGCTGGTAGCAAAAGCCAGGCTAGTTAAACAAAATGGCTCTACCTGCTGGATCTACCTTGTCAGAGGCCCATCTCCATATGCATATGCATGGGAGAGTCTGGGATAGAGGATAGAGAGCTGGAGGTTTTTTGTTTGTTTTCTGTCTAGCTTTTTGAATTGTGAGCAAGTAGTTTGCCTTTGGATACACCTAAGCCGGAAAGTATGTGTCCATCAGACAAAACCTCCTTTGAAGACTGTCCGAAATGCTCACTGTGGCGGCCACCTGGGGTCACTTGCTCAGTGGAAGTGGGGGAAATGCAGCAATGAAGAGACAGGCTGAGTTTGGACATGCACTTGAACACTTGTTGACCTGGTCCGTAGATGCTGGAGATAAGAGGGGAGAGGAAGGACTTGCTGGTCTGAAGTTTTAAGACTTGTATGGATCCTGAGCCTGTGGGCATGAACTAACCCCAGGAGGCTAGAACTGATGAGTGTGCAAAGGGTAGATGGTCTTCAGTACAGGAAGGAATGTATGAACCCCCAATCTTACTACTGGGTAAATTGAACAAGTTTATATGGCTAGAGGCGGAGTCAAATAGAAGCCAACTAAATGAAAAGATGTTAGCACTCAGCTGATGTACTCTGCTGCAGTATTGATAGATAGCCTGCTTTAGATTGTATTTTGGTTATGGATGCATATGCTCAAAGTTTCCACTGGAATGGATGATTCTTCAAATGAAAGAACGTTCTTGTCTTACAAGTACTGGGAATAGGGACAGGCAATTTAGAAGTAGATATCCAAAATGGTGGTGGCGGGTGGTAAAGGTATGATGTGGCTGGCTTTCAAGCTTTCATTTATGTCTCTAGTCTCAAAATGAGTGGGACAAAGGAGGATTCCCAATGAATAAATAAAAAAAACATTACATCTTCTTTCAGAGAAGTGCAACTTATATGTAAGGGAAAGTTAAAAAAAAAAAGCACTAATATTTTATTAATGCAAAATAGAGAAACTAAAGTACCCTAAAAATTTATGGATGTAACACACAGATGGACAACTGCATTAACACTGTTAGGATGGTGATAAGAAGTAAGTGGCATACCCTGCTGCGTTTCCACCTCGGTTCTTAGCTGGAAGAGTTCTACTTCTTTAGATTGTAGCTGTTCATTCAACAGCTTCAAAGATTCAGAGTTGACTTTATTCTAGTTAAGTAGGGAAAATGCCAAATTACATTCAATAATAAAATCAATAGGTTGATATACCTTTATTTGGAGGTAAGTACTACAAGACACACACACACACACACACACACACACACACACCCCCTCATTCTAGCCTTTAAAAGATGGGGCAACAAATGTAATTCACATCAATCTTTTCTCTCCGTTTTCTAACTTAAGACATATTTTATTCATTAGCTTTTCTTTTTAACACAAGGACAAACTTTACCATGTCATGATTTTTCAAAGAAAGTTAGTAGTGCTAGATGCATTTAAGCATTTCCAAGGCTATAGGTTTTTACAGAAACAGACTGCTGCCTCTTTCTCCTAAAAGTACCTGATGGGTAGGTTTGAACAGCTGGCCTTTTGGATAGTAGGCAAGAACACTTAACCACTGTACCGCCAGGGTGCAAGCACAATATGTTATACATTATTTTATATAGAAATAAGTTACAAATACTACATAAAACCCCATTTTTGCCTGGAACATCCATGTATCAGTTTTTATTTAATAAACATAAATATTTAACTTTTTGTATGTAATTTTAAACTTACTGAAGGCGAAAACTCATTTGTAACATACAGGCTACATTCTTATAAACCAACTCACCATTTCATCCAATTTGCTCTTCAAATTATCTCTATCAATGCAAACCTCCCGATATGCATGATAGGCCTTATTTACTTGTTTTCGCCCCACAGAACTTGTTTCTTCATCTAATTGAGCTATAAGCTAATGATATAAATAAATAATGATATAAAATTAGAAGAGAAAGGATATATTCTGAGTTAAAAAGTAAGTCATGTGATTGGCCCACACTCTATTTTGATCCTTGTCATGTGGGGTGGTGGAAATGGTTCACAATTAGTCCTTTGGGCATACCAGTGGCTCCACAAAAGAAAGACTTGGGAATTAGCTTTTATTAAGATAATCCCGAGAAAATGCAATGAAGCAGCTCTATTCTGAACCACGGGGGTTGCCATGAATTGCCGTCAACTTCATGGCAGCTAATAACAGTTATTGAGGTCAACATTTAACTTCGATCTAATAAACCTATACTGTTTAAGAAGAAGGAACCATCTGCAAAGTCAGCAGTTAAAAATCACCAGCAGCTCCATGGGAGACAGACAGTGTTTTCCACTCTTGCAATGAGTTACAGTCTCAGAAACTTAAAAGTTGTTCTACCCTGTCATATCGGGTCACTATGAGTCAGCATTGACTTGATAGCAGTGAATGATACTGTTTAAGAAATGAAAATAATTACGCATACACACACATCCACATCATGTCACAAAACATTCTTCTGAAGTTCATAGACATCTTCCAGGCCATTAGTATAAAATTTCCATCATTAGAGAAGTAAAGGTATACTTGACTTTCTAAAGTACTATGATATGTTAGTTCATTATATCCTGGGTTATTCCAGAATAGGGTTGCTGGTTACAAAGTACAGAAATATTTCCAATATTAAATGTATACTAATCACATTTTTTTCTACTTAATCTCAAATAATCATAAATTGTGAAATGCAAATTCTTTCACTCCATTCCCAGTATGTAAACACATGCTTTTAATCACCATTAGAGCAAGGAAATAAATCCTATGAATTAAAAGAAATTATTGGGTTTTTTTTTACAAATAACTTCCCTGACTCTACCAAGGTCTCTCCCAAAGTTTCTAAAATAGGGCAATTCATTTTCTTGGTTATTAAGAATCCACATTCTTCATCCTTGGTGGAAGCCTCTACATATAAAATATAAATTCAATGATCTGACCTGAAAACTATGATCTAAACTAGGGAAATTTTAAAATTCAAAAGTGAACTGGTGAGTGAGGAAGATTTCTTAACACTAGCAAGCCAAGTACAGCTGGTGATTTGGGCTGCAGCACCTGCCTGTTTATAAAGGAGTCTTCGTAGCACAACAGTTAAGTGCTTGGCTGTAAACCAAAAGGGTGGCAGTTCAAGCCTTCCCAGTAGGTCTGTGAAAGAAAGGCTTGACAATCTGCTCCCATGATCAGTCTAGAAAGACCTATGCCAAACTCAAACTCACTGCCATCCAGTCAGTTCAGACGCAGACCACCCTACCGGGCAGGGTAGAACTGCCTCTGTGGGTTTCTAAGACATTAACTCTGTGGGAGTAGAAAGCCTCATCTTTCTCCTGAGAAAAGAGAAGCTGGTGGTTCTGAATTGCTGACCATGAGGTTAGCACTCCAAGGCATAACCACTATGCCACCAGGGTTCCTGGAAAACCCTAAAGGGAAGCTTTATTCTGACACATGGAGTCAGTATGAATAAAACACCTAACACCATCACCTTGTTTATATGTTCAGTACTGAGGAATGTCAATTTTCTGCATAGAAAGGTAAATAGGACATTGGTACATCACTTAAATTCTGAATACAATATATGTAGCTATATGTAAAATGATAAAAAATTTTATTCTATAAATATGAACCAGTCTCGTGATATGCAAATGAAACTGGCTGAGTATAGTGCCCAAGGTTTTAAGATTAGCAGTAAATGATACATGTATATTTAGTATAACCACAGAAGACAGGACAGAAATATTTACAATTTCAAATATTTTGAATTATTCCTGATCCCATAAAAGAATGCAAAATCAAAGATAATTACCTTTTCTTCTAAAAATCTTACTCTTTTCCTTAACAAAGTGTTCTCTTTCTCTGAATCCTTAAATCGCTTTTTGATGTCTTCATACGCTGTTACGAGGGCAAAATGTGAAGCAAGAGTCGCATCTCCTGAATATAGTGAGCCAGGAGTCATTACTATATCTCTTCTGTTAACCTTCTCATGATTTAGAATGCAGATATCATCTTCTACCAATGTATCCATGACAGCTACTTTAGGGAAAGCAACAACAAGCACAGCATGTAAGCATCTCCTTGAGTAAATGAGCAAACCAAAAAACCAAACTCGCTGCCATTGAGTCAACAGAGACCCCCACCTGTAAAGACTTATAATCTTGGAAACCCACGGGGGCAGTTTTAACCTGTGCTACAAGGTAACTGTTGGAGTAAATGAATAGGGAAAAAGATGTATTTGGAATCATGTAAATACTAGACAATGTTTAAGAGTGCTTTTTTCAGAGGCAGGATAGCACAGTAGTTAGAAGCCAGGACTCTGGAACTCAACTCTCTGGATTTTCTAATTCTAACTCTACTGCTTAGTAATTGTATGACCTTGGGTAAATGACTTAAATTGTCTGCCTCAGTTTCCCAAAAAACATTCTGGGGTCATTCTACTGAATCCCATTGGATATAAGAGGCACATTACGAAAAGTCTAGGAGAGTTCCTGTGGGAAACAGAACTGGGAAGAAAGTGTATAAGGGCAAAACTCTCAACATTCATAGTTATGCAGTCTGGGAGCTTCCCACACTAAGTAGGACCCACTCCCTTCTGTTAAGGATCACAGAATGTTCTCCTGGAGAAAAGCTCAAAGACACCTAAGGTCAAGCCAGCTCAGAGATGACTGTTAGGCTGCCATCTGGAATCTAGAGCCAGCCCATCTTGTTGTATTTGTGCCTTCCTGTCACATGTACACCTAGCTCGTCCCCCTCCTGTTACGTGTGCCTATAGTACAACCCCTTCCTGTTACATAGGTGCTTACTGTGACCTGCTTGCCCGATCTCGTGAGAGTACACATTATGGTCTCTGCTCCGACCTGTTTCTTGAAGTCAGTCAGGTGAGCCTTTGCATGCTTTATCTTGCCTGATGTCTCTTTAATTTACCCCTCAATTACACAAACACCCTTTGGACCCATTTAGTTGTGGGAAGGCTGGTCCCCCACAAGCTCCGAGCATAGGGTCTCCACTGTCCCCAGGACTTGCCACCCTCTCCAGAACATGGATGTCCTCAACAATCTAGAAGAATCTGAGGCCAAAGGTCCTTTATCATTGGGACCTCAGTGAATAATGGGTTAATGCTTAAAAACAAAGGTGCGCCTGACAAAGTCCTGGTTCCACCCAAGTCCCAAAATTAGCCCGAATGCCATCCTGTGTACCCTACTTTTACTTTTGACTGCCAAGTCACCAACGTGAAGTCCAAGGAGACAGGAAAGGACAGTACTCTGAGAATGTCCTTGGTAGTCTTGGATGGCAGGGGAACCGGCCGCATGGAGGAAAGATAGATGAAGGAGGCACATATACATTGAGTAGATGGGACAGAGACAATAAAGATCAGTGAAGGAGGAACTTACACACCATATAAAGATAGAAGAAAACTTCCTCAAGACCAAAATATGCAAACAGGAGAGAACCATCTGCATTCCCCAAAGACCTCATAAAGCATTTGACAATGGTTTTACAGAAGTTACTGTTTATATTTTTCTCACCTGTTATAAGAACCACACCATTTCAAAGGAACAAACCTTGTGTGGCTTTTTGGATTCTGTCAGCAATACCTTTGATGATGTTGTCAGTCCATTTCCCATCTCGCATTTCTCTTTGACACATATGTAGAAAAAAACTTTGTTTTCCCCCACTATTATAATCTTGTGATGATTTTCCCCAGGGCAATTCACAACTCACAGCTATGATCAATCCAATCCATGATATACATGGTTGACTGCCCCGTATTCCTTCCCTTCCTGAGGCCTGTTGCCAGAGTGGAGCCTGTGGAGCCCCCTATTTATTTACAGGTGCTTACATTTTGGCTGCTCATTTTAGCAAATAAAGCCCACTGCCATCGAGTGGGTTCTGACTCTGAGCAACCCAATGCAGGGTAACTCTTTACAAAACAGATGGCCTCAGAGAAACTTTTGGTTAACAGTTCAATGCTTACCAGACAGTGCCACCAAGGCTCTTTGTAGAAAACAAAGGACACCTTAATTGCTCTGGAAGTTTCCAGAGCTACTTTCAGAAACTAGAGATGTGGTGGATGCAGCAGAGGGGAACAGCACTAAGAGCAGCAGGCCTCCCAGCCCCCTGGAACACAGACAGCCTAGTGCTTTCCAGCAGGAGGCAGACTGGCAGAATGGGGTGCAATTTGGGCATTTATCAGCTAATGAGTAGGGCAGAGGTCAGGGGCTGCGTGGCTGGAAGGGCAAACACTAGAGAGAAAAGTTAGGCCATTTGCTCTTAGTTGTTCTTTAAATCTTGAATATTGAAGAAACTGGTTTCCTAAAGTCATCTTTAAGCTAAACAATAGCCTCTACCAAGTAGCCTTGGGTCTTTTAGTGAATAACCTTATGTAGTCAGTTATGAGAAACAGTAACTCCAGGGTCTGGCTGGAATCTGTTTTGGAGTCAGTTTTTCTTACAAAAACACTGCTTTGGACATGGTTCCATGGTGTGGTAGTTACATAATTTCATGTCAGTTTGAAAAAGTTAGGGATGGAGTTTAGCCTGTCAATCAGTTCGCAGCATGATGACGTCATTTGGAGGTGCTACCAAGATAAATGGCTCCCTGGAGGCTGGCCCGTCTCTCTGCCTTTTTCCTGTTTACAAGCCAGTTGGAGCCAGGCTGAGACCTGTGAGTCCCTGGAGATGCTTCCGCTGCCACTGGATCCACAAGACTGTACCCACTGGGCTGTGATGTTCCTGCATTTATATCATTGCATGTGCTGTGTGAGTCTGAAGAGGGATTTATGGACTAGTATCAGACTTATGGGCTAATATCAGACTTATGAACTTGATCTGGTCTGTTTTCTAAATATACAGTTACTCTTGATATAAAGCTCTTTCTTATACATATATGTATGTCTTCGGATTTGTTTCTCTAGTCAACACAATGGTAATGCCGGTAAGACGTGATATAACAGTCTTGCAAATTCTCACCTCCAGAACAGTTTTTACTGTAAGAGGCTCCTAACTCCAAGGTCCGCGAGATTCCAAGCCCACCAGTCATCCCTCCCAAGAAAGATGAGGCTGTCAAGCTCCCACGAAAACTCACCACCTTAGCCCCAGGAGCTGTTCTACTCTGCTGTATAAGGTCACAAGTCAGAATCAACTGGATGGCAGTGGGCTTAGTTTGAGGGTTTTAGTCAAATGTTACCCTAACTATATAGTCAGTGAAATTCAATCAATTTCTATGATTAGCTTAATAAGAATTTTGTTTTAACAGTCTGAAATGTCTAAGGTATAACATACCCAACCGAATGAACAGAATCTATTCAAGTTGAATTTTTTTCTCTTTCTCTCAAAACAGATGAAAAGCAGGACACAAGCACCATCTTTGTAAAAATGAGTCATTTTAAGCCAATTCTAGAACGTGATCAAAGTTTCTTTAATATATGGCTTGCAAAAAAAAAAGTGGTGGAATAATTTGGAAGAGGATATCAATAGTGGTTGCCTAACAGCAAAATCAATGTCACTGAAATATACATGTAGAAGGTATTGAATTGGAAAATGTTTTGTTGTGAATATTTTTCCACAGTTAAAAAGTAATAATTACACTAATAATGAGTACAAGGAAGAAAATGTGCTAAGAGTAATTGTGGTAATGATTGTACAACTGTTGTTATGATTGAATTTATTGAATTATATGGTGCACTAATTATATATGCACTAATTAAATATATATATGGTTTGCAAATAGGGTAACATTTTGACTAGATAGTAAAAAAAAATGTTCCAAAGAGGAAAGAACTCCCAAGATTCTTACATCCCATCTTATCAACACTACTATGGAAATGCCCTGGAAAGGGACCGAAACAGTTTGTATAATAACAATTTACCTTACAACACAACTTCTAGTCTGAAGTGCACAGAGCTAGTTCTTCAGGAGTCTTAAGAAACAAGGGTCTCTTATAGTTATAGGCTATTTGCTTAACTTAAAAGGTTTCCTGAGACCAGTTTCCTCAAGGCTCAGAGGTCACCTCAGGGTGAAGGCTTGGGTAAGTCACCTCAACTTTCTAAGATCTGCTTTTGCAGCACCCCCAATGATTCCAGGGTATCACTGCTCACTCTGAGAAACATGCTCTACATAATCAAAAGGTTGTTTATGTGTTGTAGACTTGATTCCGACTCACGTTGCTGTTATGAAGTGCTGTCCAGTCTATTCTGATTCATAGCAAGTATAAGAACACTGCCCAGTCCCACACCATCCTCACCACCTTTGCTATATTTGAGCCCATTGTTGCTACTGTGTCAGTCCTTCTCACTGGAGGGTTGTCATCTTTTTTATCAACATTATACTTTACCAAGCATGGCATCTTTCTTCAGTGACTGCCCTTCCTGATAATCTATCCAAAGCACCTAAGACAATGTCCATTCAGCCTCACTTGTAAGGAGTCTTCTAGCTGTACTTTCTCTGAAGACAGATTTGTTCATTCCCTGGCTGTCCATACCAAAACCAACTCACTGCCAGAGTCCATGCTGACTCATAGCAACCCTATAGGACAGAGTAGAACTGCCCTATGGGTCTGAGACTAAATATTTACAGGTGCAAACAGCGACCCCTGTTGGCTTCCAAGACAAACTGTTCCTAGGAGTAGAAATCCCCAACTTTCACCAGAGGAGCTGCTGCTGGCTTCTAGTAGGCCTGTCATCTCTATGAGCACAGATAGGTCTTTCTCCTGGAGAGCCTCTGGTGGGTTTGCCCTGTTGACCTTCAGTTAGCAGCAGGCCACTTAACTATTGTGTTACTACTAGTGCTCTTTATAGTCAAAGTTGTCTTAAGCTTGTGTACTTTACTATAAAGATCAAAGCTGATGTGCTTTATCTTCACATAAAGTTATTTCGAACCAGCTCAACTCTGATTTCCTATTCCTTTTTATCATGAAGTAATCATTCTTCTCAGCAAAGAAAACCCAGTGTGGTAAAAAATATACAGAAAAGTCATCATTACAGCATACAAAAAACCCAACCCTTTCACTGCCATTGAGTGGATGCCAATTCGTAGTGAGCCCATAGGGCAGGGTAGAACTGCCCATGAACGTTTCCAAGACTGTGACTTTGCACAGAAATAGAGAGTCTCATCCTTCTCCTATAGTGGCTGGTAGTTTCGAACTGCAGACCTTGCAATTAACAGCCCAACATGTAACCACTATACCACCCGAGGTAAGTGATATACTAGAAACAAGAGGATATGATGTGGGAAGGGGAAGTTATATTTAAAGAAGAAACCAAAAAACAGAGTGACTTGATCTTATCCTCTTAAGTTAAAAAAGTAGAGATCAAAGATCTGAAAGAGTTTGGGTACAAGGGTAGAGAAAGGGAGATGGTAGGAGATGATGTTGGGAAGACAGGATGGGGACAAAATGAGATGGCCCTTTGTGATAAGGGGACTGTTGATTTTGGTCTTTATTCTGTGACATTTTATAGATAGATCTAGGTGTGATTAGTGTGAAGAATACTTAAGACAACATTTTCAAGTAAATAAAAATAAATTCACAATGAAATGGGCTGCTTAGCATTGTTATGAGTTTTACAAAGTGATTTAATTCTGACTCATAGCAACCCTATAGGACAGAGTAGAACTGCCCTATGGGTCTGAGACTAAATATTTACAGGTGCAAAAAGCTTCATGTAGCCTTCTGTAGTGGTAATTATATGTACCAACTGTTTATGATATGCCAGGTAGTGTAACTAAGACAAGCTGCAGTAAACAGTATGAGGGCCATATCTGACCTCTTCTGACTTCCCTATTGCCAAGAGGCAGGAGTCAATCATGCCTTCACCCTACATTCTTTTTCTTTACCCTATTCTGCTACTAACCATTCCTCCAATGGCACTCTACTTCTATTCTGAGATATAATTCACCGCAATGGCCACAAAGAACTCATAGACAATATTCACAATCAAAGGGGTTCATTAGGGAAGTTGATAGATCACTACAGGTCAGGATCAACAAACAGTAAAGATACAGTCATTGATTCAAAGCAACACCGCTCTCTGGTCCTCAGCCTCCAAGCTTTATGGTCTCTTGGTCTTTGCATACTGGGCCAGGAAGCCAAGCTACTGCTCACATTACAGTCCCAGTCTCCATGCTGCTGCCCCTCCATGCTGCTCTGTCCTACAGTCTGTGCCACAATCTGGTGCCTGTGGTCTAGGCCTTGGCCTCTTCAGGCAGAGATCTGGTATGTGCTCTACCAATGATCCTGAGCTTTCTCTGCTCAAGATGACTATTAGACACAGAGGAAAGGCTTTTATGGAGGTGTGTTTTTTTTCTTTTAGAGACCATACCCCTTCAAGGAAAATGAAGAATGGTACCCTAAGTCACACCCTCTACTGGAAGTCTAAAGCTTTTGGAAGTTATGCATACTCCCACTGTAGAGATAGAGGAGGACACTAAGCTTATTAAGGACCGTGAGTCATCAATTTCAGTTAACCTCACAGGCCTCACCAAAGAGAAGCAGTTCCAGCTATCACGTTAGGGGTGAGTTAATTAACTGTTTGACCAATATGCCCACGAATGTTGTAAACATCCAAATGGCCCTTGGCAGAAAAAAAAGATTCCCAGTCCCTGGTCTAAAGATATTCCCAAAGGGAATATCTATTTCACACCTTCTACTAAAGTCAAGGATTTAACCCCTCCTTAATCCTATCCTTAGTAAAGCAGAAAAATTTTTAAATAGGATTATAACTACAGTCAGAGAGTGCTGAATTATAATACATCACAGAAGGAATTATGACTAGAAAGGCCATATTATTAACTACTTCTCACAAACAAATGTTAGAAAACTGAGGAGCCAAGAATGAAAATCTCAATGGAGTCCTGAGGCTCCATAAACCAAGTAGATTCTGACTCATCTTGACCCTATAGAGCAGAGCAGGGCTATTCCATAGGGTTCCCAATATAGTAAATCTTCACAGGAGCAGACAGCCTCATCTTTCTTCATTGGCACAGCTGGTGGGTTTTAAACACTACCACTGACCTTAACTCTCAGTGCACTCCCAGGGCTCCATTACTTACCTTAGCTTTTGGAAGTTATGCTCTGGTTCCCATTTGAGAGACAAAAGTAGGAGGGGATTAAGCTTATTAAGTGTGAAGTGAATAACTGGAAAACTTATGATTCAGTTCCAGGTAGTCAGACTAAATCCAATGTATTTCCCATCACTCTTTCAGTTATACTACATTTGTATGCCACTCCCCAGTTTGAGCCCTGGTAGCATCATGGTTAGGTGCTGGGCTAGTGCTGCGTTAAGTGCAAAGTTAGCAGTTCAAAGCCACCAGCTCTCCAACGTAGAAAAACAGGGCTTTCAATTGCCAAAAAGAGTTGAAAGAGTTAGTCTCAGAAACTCACAAACTACCAACTCCTACAGAGTCAACTCCCAGTTTTATACATAATCGCATTCGAATTTGTGATGAAATTGTGAGGCAGGCCTATTTCCAATTTATGGAAAATAGTGGGAGTGATCACAATAGATTGGGGAATTAGATAAGACAGTTTTAGAGAACTAGAATTTGAAGTAGAACTTTATAGAGAATTGTAATTTAAATTACACTCTTGCTCAACTCAAATTTCCAATCCAAAGTAAACCAAACTCACTTCTCATCCGTCAATTCCCACGTATGGGGCGGAGTGGAACTGCCCCAGTCAGTGGTGACTAAATCTTTACAACAGTAGAATGAATGCCTCATCCTTCTCCACCGGAGTGGCTGTGGGTTACAAACTGTGGCAGCCCAGAGCGAAAGGTCAACTTCACTCCTAGGAAGTTTACTGCCTTTGATCAACTAGTTTCTTTCCAGCACGCCCTGAAGCAATGTTCTAGTTTGTATTAACAGTTTCCGTGTATTTATTTTTATCTCACTGGTACGTGGGTTCCTTTTCTGTTGTGCTGAGGGGAGGTCCACCTTGCATGTCCAGGTCTCTTCGCAACTAACCCGAATGACACAGGTTGGGCACTGGAGAAATGACGAATGCCGACTGTTAGGCCTTGATAGTGTGCTGGAGGGGTCTGGTGGTCCCAGATGGGAAGGCAGTGTCGCCTCGCCACGTCTTTTTCTTTTTTGATACAAAAGCTATTCCAGTGAATGAAATAAAACTGGTAAGGTCCCAGTACGTCGGAGTACGTACTGGGGAGCGAGGGAGCAATGGGGCCAAGGAAAAAGTAAAGGACCAAGGGCCTGGAACAGCTGGGAATGCCACAGAGCTAAGAGACGCCCGAGGCTGGGCTGATGCGAAAGTGGTCGGGGGGGTGCGGGGGGTGTCGGCTTTTGGAGAGAAAATGACACGTCTCTTCAGATCCGCAACGGGAGCAGAGGTTGGCCCCTGCACTGCCCGCACCCCCAGCCCAATCGCATCACTCACCCCGCAGCCAGGCTCCCTCCGTAGGGCTGTCCCCAGGCCCGCCGAGTTTCGATTCTCCTCCAGTGTTTGGCAATGGATAAAAATCAACCCGGATCGCCAGGGGTCACCACGGGCTTCCGGTTTCCAGGAGGACACCGCTGCTTTCCCAACGAAGGCAGCTGCTTCGGGAGCGCCGAAGAAGGACTCCCATTTCTTTGGCCACGACTGCGCCACCCGTGGCGCGACCCTGCCCCTCCTCAAGGGCCTGGGGGGCGGGGGGTGGGGGCGTTGTAAGGAAGGGCTCGCGCGCCGGGGAAGGAGGGGCTGACCTGCCGCCAGAAGGCCCGTTGCCCAGCAATGGACGCGCGCGATCCAGGCCCCCGGCAGCGGACCCCTCAGGGCCCGCGCCGGCCCGCCGCGCCGCGTTCGCCCAGAAGTGCCGTCTCGGGGGCGGCGGGGGGGCGGTGCGAGCGAGGGGACGCGTCAGGCAGCACCGGAAAAGGGGCTTCGGCTGTCTGCCGGCCAAGTGCCCCGGTCAGGCGAGGAAACCGGAAGTCAGGCCCGAAGGAGCTGGGAGGGCTTCCGGGAAGCCGGCGGCTTCAATGTGTCCGTTGCACTACGTGTCCCGTGAGCCTCCGCGGCGAGGCGAGGCGGGGCGGCTGGGCTGGCGCGACGCGAGAAGACGGAGGCGGAGACAGGCGGAGCTGGGTAAGCGTCTTCCGCCGTCCGGACGGTGAAGCCTAGGTCTTTCCTCGGTCCCTCGAGGCCGCCCTAACCCCCCCTTTTCCGCAGAGGTCCGCAAGGGGGTTCCCGAGCGTGAGGGACGTGCCGGCCTCGCGGGCCAACCCGCTGTACGCTCGGCCGTGAGTCGCCTCAACGTGGCCGCGAATGGGGAGCCCTGGGAGAGACGGTCGGGGGAAGCCTTTTGACCCCTCGCGAACCCTCCGGCCATCATTTGAAGCAGGAACTTGGTGAATTGTTCAAAAAACTACAGTTACGCAGCAGGACTCAACGAGGGTTTCCGCACGCTGCTCCCTTTAACATGAAATCTGTAAATTGGGGGACCAAGAGACGATGGCGGAGCTGTGGTGACCTTTTAGTTTCCACTACGCTCGGTTATTTTTCCATCGTAGTCCGGACGTGTGTAATTCGATCCAGTACAATCTGTGGGCGTCGCAGCCCGAGGGAGCTCTCCAAAATGAAGGGCTAGTTCTGGTTGAAAACAAAAACTCACTGCAATCGAGTCGATGCAGACCCTTAGCCACTCTCTAGGACAGGGTAGAACTGCTCCTGTGCGTTTCTGAGACTTCCACTGTTTACAGGAGTTGAAAACCCCGACTTTGTCCCGCAGAGTTGGGTGGTGGTTTTGAACTGCTGACTTTGCAGATCGCAGCCCAACAAGTAACGAGTAACCAGTGTTCCTGTTTCTGGGTAAGCAAGACCATAATTGTAGAAAATGTACCTTCCCTAGCTGCCAATTAGCAACACTAATGTCGCCACTCCCTAAAGTATGCTGAGACTTCATCCTTCACTCAGAAAGAAAGTACAATTCATTATGGGCAATATATGAAGTATATTCCAACATCCCGTGACAACATCTCCTCTATGAGCATGTTGTGAAATATGCAATGTTACAGAGGCTATGCGGGTTGCAGAGTGGTCTCTAATTAAATTAGACCACGGAAAGAAAAGGACTTTTGAAGCACTGGACTGCTCCGGGAGGAGCCATCTTGGCATAGCGGATTGTGCATTGAGCTGCAAACGTCAGGGTCAGTAGTTCAAAACCATCAGCGCCCTCCGCGGGAGAAAGACTAAAACTTTCTACTTTCATAAGGAATTACAGTCTCAGATACCAGAGGTGCAGACTCACTGGCTGGCAGTGAAGAGTGAGACTGGTGATGTAATGCTTTAAGCATAGATCAGTAATTCTATTGGCTGCTGAAAATAACACCTGCCAATCTGCTCCTTCACAGATTAAACCGGTTGCTTCAGTTGATACTATCTTGTGTTGACCCTGTAGGACTATAGAACCTGCCCCACAGGTTTTCCAATGCTATAAATTCAAGGAAGCATATTGCCAGCTTTCTTAAACCGCTTTTATTGTTGACTCATAGCATCCCTATGTAAGGTTTCAGAGGCTATACATCTGAACTGGAACACAGCCTCATCTTTGTCCCCAGTGCAATGCTTACCTGACAGCCACCAGGCTTCTCCCATATAAATTGTAGCGTGGCAACTCTGTCAGTTGGGGTTACTCAGAGTTAGAAGGACTAGAGGGCACTCGACAGAAGATTTGTAAATGTTAGCTGGATGGCTACTGGTTTCCCAGAGCAAGTCTTAATCCATTAAAGTTTATTAGAAGACTCCTTTAGTAGCCCCTCCACCCAATGTTCATTTCCTCCCCCAAAAGAGTTGTAAAGTATATCATCTAAAAGAATTCTGCCCTATGCCAAGTTAGGGATTTTTAAAAAATATATATCATCATCATTATAGCAATCTGAAGATTTCAGAATAACTCACTGGTTAAAGAATAAATTTTGTTACCGAATGGTTATTTTGGAATGAATTAAACACTTGACACAGACACTTTAACAAGTATCCGGTTTATAGAATGTTATGAATATAATATGAAGAGAGATACAAGAGTTTCCATCTCAGAAGGAATGGGTCATCCACTTCAGAAGGACTAACCTTTGAAAACCTTAAGAGAAACAACAAAACATTATCGGATAATGTTGGAAAATGAACTGCTCAGGTATGAAGGCGCTCAAAATACAACAAGCAGACCTGCCTCTTAAACTAAAATCTCCTAAATGACATGAACGGAGTAAAGGACGCAAACCACAGTTTTTAAGAAGGGCTACTGTAAACCAAAGATTGCTTAGTGTCTTATGATCCTGACTCGTTAACGTCCCTAACCCGTTAACTTCCCTAATAAGCCTCCATGATTATGAGTTTTGCCTGTGAGTTCTGTGTGGCAATTGCAATGGATTATGGACTCGACTAGCAAGGTAAAGTTCCACGGGCCTCTCCCCTTCTCCCTTCTTACTCCATACTGACATAAACCATCCCTCCCTGGGCACTTTACCTCTGGCAATCAACCTTGGGCTGATTTATGTGGAGTTGGATTTTCCAGCTCCCTGTTGAAACCAGAGGAGGTCAGATGTGGCCTCCCAGCCATTTTCTCACCTGTTTGATGTGCCTTGATCCTCTGTAATTTGTGCATACCTTCATTCTTTTTATTAGCCTATGAGGGTTAAGGAAAGCAGCACGTGGTGCCACTGCTCTCAGAAACACAGTGTAAGTTCAGGCATTGAAAGAGCTACCAAGACTCATAATCCTTTCATTCAGGTAATCCTAGCTTCTCATTGACAGTAAAAAAAACCAATTTAAATTATTAAAGAATCAGGACATCCCAGGAAATAGTCCTTCAATACCAATTTGAGAACTGCAGCTCTAGTTCTCACACGTTCAGTAAAATAACATCCCATTTGAAAGGGGATCTTTTATCTCCATTTAATGAATATCATCTTCATACATTATTGAATCATACTTTTCTTTTTTGGAATATGTGTGTGTACCAGGACTTTGTGATCATGATTTTGTTATCAAGGGCTCCCTGGTGGAATTCCAAGCTACCCTTTTCCTTTGTTCCACAGAGTCTTCATCATTAATTGGATTGCTACCTGAATATTATGAGCATATGTCACAAGAGTACGTATCTCATCCCACCTCTACCAATAGCTTTTCTGGAATACAGATTTTCAGTTTAGAGAAGTGCTTCTTTTGCATCCCATCTAGTCAGTTTGAAATAGTACTCCATGGAGTTAACATGTTACAAATTCCTGTGTTAGGAAGAAAAGCTTAAAGGTCAGAGATAAAGCAGCAATGTAAACAAACCCAAGATGGTCCCTGCCAAGTATTCAGAGAAACCCAAGCTCTTGAGATCATTGAGCAAGGAACCAGGCAGGTGATTCTTCTGAATTAAAACTTCCTGGGAATAGTTAGCTGTTCTTTGAGAAAATTCTTGGTATGTTGAGTATAGGAAGTAAAGGAATTGCTTTTAAAAAGTAATAGAATTTTAGAGGCTTGTTTAAGATCCAAAATCCAAAACTACTTTTATTTCATTTGGAGAAATTATTAGTTAACAGAAATATTTAAAATTATTAATCACTTGTATGTTCATTAAAAAATAATTATTGCTTTTACTGAATATTAACTTCATTGTTAGTTGATCACTTACCCCTTCTGATTTGGCTGGTATTTTCTTATAAAAGTAAAAACAGTAAAGATTTACAGAATATGAATTTCTTTGTCTATGCAACGAGGCAGAAGGCAGTTAGCATTTTACAGATAGAGGTTATTCATTTAAAAATATGTATATGAGTGTCTGATTTTAGGGTATAAAATAAAGGTTCAGGAAGAGAAGAAGGCTTATGAGAAATATTTTATATCTTGATATCAAGTGAATTATTGGAATACCTATAATTTTTGTTTTATAATAACAGCAAAAAACAAAAAGTTATAAATAATTTTCATCCTTACAAAACTTCCGTGGCACAGGTTGATTCACTGCTTTGAAGAAAAGAAACACAATAGAACAATAATGAAATTATCAACTACCAACTCTATAACAATGGGTGTATTTATATGAGGTTTTTATGAAAGCTTCCATTAGGAGTTAATTGAAATATGTTTTTCCCATTCCATTCTCGTTTTTAGTTGAGAAAATTTATTTTGTATTTTTATCTTGTTTTATTTTTTAAGTTTTATGGGCATATAATTCACATATCATACAATTCATTGGTTAAAATATACTGAAAAGTGTGTACAATCATCACCACAATCAATTTTAAAATATTTTCTTCATTCTTGTACCTATTTTTTTAAAATCATTTTATTAGGGGCTCATACAACTCTTATCACGATCTATACATTCATCAATTGTGTAAAGCTCATTTGTACATTCATTGCCCTCATCATTCTCAAAACATTTCCTCTCCACTTAAGCCCCTGGCATCAGCTCCTCATTTTTCCCCTCCCTCCCCGTTCCCCTTTAGTTGAAAATTTTAACATTTGACTATAACCCATAATCTTATTATTTTGGTCATTTCAACAATGTACCAAATAAATAATTCGGAAAAAATCGACTTAATTGATTTTTTAAACAATGTTATTGACATATAGTTCACATATCATATAATTCAGTAGTTCAGTCATATTAAAAATAGTTAGATAATCACTACCAGAATTTTAGAATATGTCCTTCTTTCTTGTACTCATAATTATTAGCTCCCCATTTCACCAACCTCCCTGCCATATCCTCAAGAAACCGTAACTCCAGCTGCTGTCTCTGTAGATTTCATATCCAGAAAAACATACAAAGACAACAACAAAGTAAAACAGAAACCTCAATCAAAAAGAAAACAAAACATTAAAAAGCAGAACAACTGTAAATTTGATTGAAAGGGAAATCAAATGTTAAGGTGTTAAATTTTAATCTGATTGCATCGTCAATAATCCACTTTCCAGTATCCTAAACATGATAGCAAGGCTATTCACATCCCTGGTCTATGGTCAGAGGAAATTCATGAGAGCATTAATCCATGTGTATTTCCCCTTCACTTAAAAAACAAACAACACTTAAATTTGAAAGATTGAAAGGGAGGTCAAATGATAAGGGATTACATTTCAACCTAAGCACATTT